AAGAGAACCACACAAAAAAGAATCAGCAAATATATCTGCATGGGAAAATACCTAACAGAGGGTGTGAAAAACTTTTTAACTCTGCAAACATCGAGCTGATAAATGAAACCATCGTTTACAAGAAGCTGCTAAAAAAATAGTGAAGAGAAAACAAACTTCCGATTCTGATGAAAATCATACTTAGTATTTCAGTACAAACTGATTATCGCTGCAAATGTCGGAAGAAGCATCCAGAATGTTTGGTGAAGAATTTCATCAATTTTGAATCTTATTTTATGCTTCATAATTTATGGCGATTAGAGAACATTTTTTCGCACGATAAGTAAAGCATACTATTTTCGAAACATCGCGGTAATATGCCGTTTTGGGTAGCGTAACCTCAACACAGATATACTACCCACAAATAGATTTATTTATGAGTTACAGAAGAAAGAGATATCGGTAAAAGACGTAACTAAGAAGAGTGAGTGATGGATGTCAATCAGGTTCAAAACAATAAATATATAAATATTAAAGGACTCGTCAGTTCATTAGAAGGTAAATCTGAAATAAATTTGAAAGTAAGAAGCATTTCTAACTTCTTATGTAAATGTTTTAGTGTCAGTAATGTATGCGTACGTGTGTGAATATGTATGCAATACGCATGTTTGATTGCAAATGAAGACTCACTAGCAATTCTAATGGATAGAGTCAAAAAAGGAATATAATTTAATTTAGGTATGACAAATGGGGTCAGACTTGAAAAAGAACAGTTGCAGGACCAACATATCACTCACACATTTGACACAGAGATCAAATTCCCGCGGTTATCACAATCCACCAATAAGGCCACGGAGATTTTTCCGGCAACACGAAAGGTACCATCTACCTGGTAATCTTAGAGGACGTCACACACATATGCACACGTGCATTCGCACGAGAGTACGTACACACACGTACGCACACATGCACATGCACATATATACCCATCTATATGTATGCATATATTTATACATGTACGCAAATAGATATGAGCACGCGTGAGATATTCATGTACACATCTCCGCACACGTACGCTCACTCCACGCAAACATAGAGAAACATATATGATAAGCGGTCGAAGATATGGTACCATACTGTATCGACCGGAACACACACACCAACACAGACAGAGAACTACGATAAGAGCAAGGACTGTGGACACGGTAGAGAACAAGAAACGGTGGCTCGTCATCTCTCCGCCACACACACAACCATGTCTCTCTCCCATCCCTTCTCTTCTGCAACACACTCTCATCGCAAGACATACTTTTCCTTCAACGTCTGCAACCACATGTGCCCCGCATCTTTCGTTTCCCCTACTCCCCGTCATCTCTGTCATGAAACATTGGATGACATGCTATAGGGAGAGAGAGCGGTAATACGAATATCGGCTTCGTGCCAACTTTTCCTTCCTGTCCGCTTAGTTGTTCGTGGTTTGGCGTGCGTGGAACTTTTCTTTTTGTTACAACAAAAAGGTGTTCATTTTCTAAAACATTCCTTTCCATCGATTAATTTGATGAAACCGTTTTGAGTTTTGATCCTCAATAAACTCTTGAATCTTCTGATAACGGCCCATTATTTGCAGATCCATCGAGCACTATTACCTCGGGATCGATGAATGATGTTTCAGGTGGATTGGTCAAGGACACATGTTGTCGTCCAGAACGTAATATCTTATCCGTCTTCGATCTTACAAAATGGTGTCACTCAAAGGTGAGTTGATGTAATTTGACCTGTTCCTCACTTCTTTATTTGTCAGGAATGCAATTCCATAGAACTGTGTTTTTATTTCTCATCATTCTGAAATCAAAAAAGTCTCACTGTTGAGTAGAGTAAGTGGACGGACTGGAACGTCCGTCTACTTACTCTACTCAATTTCTTGAATAATGAGATTGCAATTTTGTATCTCTTAAATAATGAAACTACTAACATGACAAATTAGCAAGTAGATTGCCACAATGAGAGATCTGTGATATTCAACATTGTCCTATATTTCAGTGTGCTATGGTTTATGTTATTCCTACAAAACGAATAAAGCATCTAATATATAAATTAATATGTTACTTCAAATTTTTTCAGGCTTATATGGAATATATGGCAATGATAAGTGAACTGAATGATGCAGTGAAAGGTGTTATGTCAACGGAAGATATCCCTATCAGTCCCAAAGTTATGGATGCAATTGACATTTTGGACGAACTTCAAGTTCATTATTCTGTTATTTTCACAGGAAAATTTCTAACCGATGTTTTATGAAGAGCTTATTTTGTTTGTTCTGCTGTAAAGCAATGTTTTTTTCCCATCGTGACACTTGGCGTGTTATATGCTCATAATTATTAACAGCATTTGTCACATTTCCAAATTTCACTTTGCCATTTCAACAACACCAAATCTTATACCCGCTTGTTTTATCATTTAAAAGTAACTGGAGATAAGCTTTCAGGAAGATGCTAGCAAATAGTATTGCAAAATCTATATTATACTTTGAGCAGTACAATTAAGTATCAAGTAGTGAGAGTTATTTTTTAGAAATGGACATTGGAATATCCACCAGAAGATATGGGAACACAGCGTTTTGGTAATGTTGCTTTTCGTAAATGGTATCAGCGTCTGACAGAGGTCTTGCATTTTTGTGAATTTAAATAGTGTTAAAGCAGACGTTCAATTTTGTATTGCATTAGTTATTGTTAAAAAGCTGTAAAGTTAGACTTTGATTCGATTTAATTTCTTTTTTAGGAAGCTGACGATATAATTTATGGCCTTTTAACTGCAGAAAAAAAGAACTTCGTGGTGGAATTACTTCCATACTTTTTGGATTCATTCGGTAATGCAACGCGAATTGATTATGGATCAGGTTTTGTATTTTTACTTTGCATCCAAATGATCTATGATAACTGAACGGGCTGGTAGTTTCTCTTAACTACTATTTATTTTTTGGTGCATTCAAAAATCTTTTAGGGCACGAAGCCTCCTTTTTAATATTTATGCTTTGCTTTCGTAAACTGGGCGTATTTGTGCCAGCAGACAATCGTGCTCTTGTGCTTCGATTATTTCTGAAGTAAGTTTATTTATAATTATATAAATGAACTATAGACCACTAATATACGTAATTTATTTCACCTTTCATTTCGTTTGTTATGATTGGTTTTAAATTTGTGTTTTGCTCTCGAATATTTTGATATGACGTTATTTCTGCATGTTCGTTGTTCAAGTTGTGTAATGAATAAATGCAGTGAAATTTTGTGCTTTTTTTGAAGTAAGTTTGTCATTATCGGTTTTAGATATATACGATTAGTACGGTGTCTTCAAACTACTTATAGAATGGAACCAGCTGGAAGCCGGGGCGTTCATGCACTAGATGACTTTCAGTTCATACCTTTTCTGTGGGGCAGCTCTCAGCTTATCGGTATGCAGTTTTATTATAAAAAATTCATATTTTGTCTTTACTGCCAGATTTCTTCGCTTTGCGATATCTTTTGTTACAGGAAATAAGCGATTAGTACCAGAGTCTTACTTGAAACCCGACATTGTCGAAATACATGCTTCAAAGAATTTGTTTTTTGATGCTATCCAGTACATCAATAACGTAAGGTTTAACTGCATGGAGAAAATTATTTCTGGATAGTGATAAGAAAGCTCGAAAATCAGTAGTATTAACGATAGTTTATGAGGAGTAATATGGCTTGAAGCCTAAATATCTTTCTTTTACATTTCGGATTTTTCATTTCGGATTTCGGATTTTTCTTTGTAAAGTTATACAAAATATCTGACAGATATTATGTGCAAAATGTCCGACTGGCTTGAAAAATAGTGCAAAGATGATTGCTGTTTTCAGAGCGAAAACTTGAAGGCATGCGATACTCTGTTTTTCTCTTCCGAATGATTTTGCATTGAAAATTCAAATCATTTTCAATTTACAGACTAAAAATGGTCCTTTTCATGAGCATTCAAATCAGTTATGGAATATTAGCGCTGTACAAACCTGGGAAAAAGTCAATTCTGGCATGTTCAAGATGTATGAAGCTGAAGTAATCTCTGATACTTAATATGATGGCTTTGTCACACTTTAAATGTACTAACTGACAGAGAAATCTGGATAGATGGCTGGAAATCTCATTTAAAAAAACAAGATGATATAGAGGATAATACATGATCCATAAAAGTGTGACAAGGAAAAAGAGGGGATGCAAAAGACTAAAAGAATATAATAAAGTAATTCTTCATTTCCAGTGTTAATTTTGGAAACTTTTTTCTAAATCGCCAGAGCAGAGTTTGATCATGTATCTTGATTCTGTGATTTTGCACTTTTTCAGGTTCTCAAGAAATTTCCAGTAGTGCAACATTTTCAGTTTGGATCTTTGTTTTCAATAGAACCAGTAAAAGAAATGAATGATCCAAATTTGATTGATACGGATAATAATGCCATAGACTCTTCAAATTCTGAACGTTAGCGAATGTCCAGTATTTAACAAATTGGTAACTGTGTTGCTGATCGAAAATATAATTTTATTCAACTGTATGTTTTTGCAAAACATCATTAATATTGTCGAAATTTCACCACTCCAAGAATAGGGAATGTCCACCATATGAGTGAAGAGAGGATATTGTTATAAAGATGATATATTTTTATGGTGTATATCCTTTTCCTAATTACATTAATTTATTTTCACTTTTTAGTTTCTCATTATAGTAATTTTACGCTTTAATTTATTTTGTAAGCATCAGAAATGATTATTCTGGTTGCAGTTGCGGATTTTGTATTTTTGTATTTACGATAAGTTAGCGCATAATTCTTAAATAATATAAGTATTTGTTGCTTATCGTTATATGTGTACTACTTAGTTTTCGAATAATATTTATCGATTTCAAGGATTGATCTGTAACCCTTGTATTAATTGATTGTATATGGTAGAGCAGGCGTAGAGTTAACGTCATTATGTTCGATTATATCTGAAAGGGACCCGCAGTGCCAATGGTTTAATTATCCATTGGTTAGACTTTTCACTTTCTAATGTGCATTTTCAATAGTGCATACAAACTGAAGATGAATCAGTTTGCTATTAAAGAGGAAGCGAAAATTATTGAAATTATAGATCGATACTCAGAATTCATATATTATACCTGAAAAATAAATTACCATTGAAATGTTTTTTTGAGATTCACTGCAAAAAGTAAACGTAAATTGTTCTGAATACAGCGTCAGGGTTAATATTTTATGAATGTTCGTAACATGTCCTAATTTAGCTGTTCATTTAGTTGTTACTGTCTATTTCAGGGGCAGTTTTCCCATTTCCTGAAAAAAGTATTTTCAATAAAGAAGTTGAATTTTGGGAGCGCATGTAAGGTGATTCTAAGAGCTTTCTCGTTTTTCGTCATGTGTTGCTTTTTCAATGAAAAAAAATTGGCTTCAAGCAATCAGTTTCTTCACTTTTTAATTATAACGATGTCAGAATAACGACAAACCTGCAATATTTTTTTCTTTGTTTGAGAGATTTGTCATACTGTTCAGTGCTGGCCTTGCATTTTTTTTTTCAAGAGAATATAGCAAAATGTGGATTATTATAAAATAAGACGAAGACGATGCTGCAAATCTGAAGTAGAATATTTTGTTCACTTTGTTGAAGTAAACATATTTGGATGATGAAAAAAGTGGTACAAAAACAACTGTATGATTTGCACTGTTAAATTGTGGCCGAGAGCCTGAATCATAGAGGAATTTAAAATTTAAGATTAAATTAACAATCATTTTATTGAAACAATGTCTGAATAAGTAGTCGAGTGGTCCAACAAGTTTTAGTTCCTGAATTCAGAGAAAATGAGTGATAAAATTCAATGGAAATTTATTGGAAAGGTGCATTTAATTTCATTGGCTAAGTATATTTCCAGAACAAAGCTGTAAATTGTTCAAGTTCGCCTAATAAAACCAAATCTTAACCTTATAGTAATTATACTATCTGCATGTACACTGTGAATAGACTGAAATATCTTACGAATAACAATAATCAATTGAATTCTGACAAAATATCTCAGCTCAAGACATTATTTGTTTTGAGAACTCTGGCTATTCGGTTTGTGAGAGATGATCAACTATTTTAAGTTTTACTACTTTTAGATTTTATCATTTAACTCGTATTAGTTTATTTTTATTATTTCCATCCGGTTTCATGCTATCCCCTTAATGCGTTCCAGTAATTATGCAAAAATGATGCAAAAACGGTGAAGGAAAAAAAATAATTTTTAAAATGTCGCAATTCATCATCGCAAAGCATTATTGTTCTCAAGAGTACGAAAGTCGGTTGACTCATTTTATTTCCTTTTACTTGAAAAAAAGTCCATCCAGATAGCTCTGCGTTATGTGAGGATGATAGAGATGGATCAGTGGAATTATAATCTGTGTCCGAACTGCTACAATACTACATAGACGATAGATAAGCATAAGAATAGTCCAAACCATTACTTTAATTAAAGAATATGAAATACTTTTCGACAGTTTCATAATCATTCTATATATTGATTGAATTAATGATTTCGTTCATAAGGAAAGCATTGCATAATCTATCAAAGATATAATTTTATTGTCATAAGCTTGACTTTGCACAAGTGAAGGTTTCATGGCTAAAAGATAAGTTTTGTTCAAAAATCCATTTATATACTATTTCTTAGATGACTGATAGTAACACGACGGAAGTCGGAGATGTACAACACGAAGAACCTGTCAGGGCCAGTGATCAAACGATGACCAAACTTGCAGCGAAATCAGTAAGATCTATCTAGTACGAGCACTATCACATTGTTAAAGATTTCGGTTGTGTTAATTTTCACAATGCATACAGTTCTTCTCATCTTGAATTTTAACCGAACTTTTTTTCGGAATCTTCATAGTTTCCAGGTAGATTCATTTAGTAAAAATACAAAAAGTAAAACTCGTTATAGAGATGAAGTAAATCTACGAAATACCTTTTTTTTGTTAAATGACAAGAGACCAAATTGCATCAATATTAAGTATTTTAACTCATCTGAAGTGAGATTTGTCTATCGTTCAATACTCCGAAATTCAATAATAATCGTTGATGATTTTATTTTTCTCTCTCTCTACCTCTTCGTCTCAGGTCTTTAACGCTTCTTAATATGATTTTCGTTCCTCTCATTTTGTTCTTTACCATTACTAGCAATTAATAGTGACAGAAGTGCCCAGCATATCTTTATGAGTTGCGATTTTTCTTTCAGGTAAGGGGGAAATCGGAAACTGTACGAATTACTAATGAAAGCTTTGAAGATGATCCTGCAGAAGTGGATGAAATGGAAATGAGCAAAATCAACGATGATATGGTTAAAAAATTGCTCACCTGTGATAAAAATGGGCAGAAAAATGATGAAAATGAAGTTGAAGGTCCAAACATCAACCAGCTTCTACCGTCAATTTAAAAGCTAGCAACATTAATAAAAGAAAACTCGCTTTTCTTTTTAAGTTTCACTCTAAATTACTTAAGAAAGTTATTTAAATTAAAAGAAAGCTTCCAATATTAATTAATTTGTCAGATAGTCTACCGAAAACACAAGAAGAACTTGAGGAGGCAAAACTGCTACAAGAAATCGCTAAGAGGCCTTTGGAATCGTTCAAAAACATGAAAGATGTACCGGATGCTATTGCAAAAACTTATTATAAGGTGGAAGGATTTGTCATTTGAATCAATTTTTCCATTCAAAGTTGTAAGTTTCGGGAAGTTCTCAAAATGATAAATGATATGAATGAATTGATTTACATCATTGATTCTAATGTGGTGTTACTTCCAGTGTTCTCACCTAAAGACTTACAGGACATCACTCGTCGTTGGAAGGAATCAGAAGCCCGCATCAAACAAACTGAAGATTTGCTCTCTCATGTGAAATACGACGATCGCTCATTGGAGGAAGATCGTCTGGAGATTCTTGGTGAATTACTAGATAAGGCAACTCAGTCATTCGAAATTTTTGAAGAGCACGAAGTGAGCCATTTATCGTTAAATACACTTTTAATAAACAGCGTGCTGACCAAACCTTGAAAACTGGAGAAAAGGGAGAATTAATAAATAAATTAGTCAGTAAAATTGATTTTGCAAATTATATGAAAGTTCCACTTTTAAAATGAAATTGATCAGAAAATCTCAATGATATGACATGTACATCTGATTTTTCAATTTGAATAGACTGCAAAATAGCTGAAGATTTTGCAGAACCGCAACGTGCCATATGGTCATCGAATTGTTCTGGAAACAAAATTGCTGATGGTTTTTAATAATGCTGTTAATCTTATTTATAAAATTATCGGTGAATTTGATAAACTGAAAGGGGACCAGATTGGTGTAAATGATGAAAGAGATGTAAGTTTTTTTATTTGGAGTATTATAACTTCAAAAATATAATAAATTTAATTACATTTAATAAGCATACTTTCTGTAATGCAGTTTTACCGGATACGATTATCAATGCATTAAGCTTCTGAAAAAAGCTCACAGCAGCAACCGTTAAACCGTTCCGTCGAATCTTTCCACCGATACGAAAGTCTCCAATTAATAAAAAATCGTTTTATATGGAGCAAATGTGTTTTTTAGCAACTTCGTTATGAAATCCGTTATTGTGATGCGGTCTACACCGAAGTGCATGAACGTTTCTTGAAATCTTACTTGGAAATGGAGTGGTGAAATAATTGATGTGAAATCATCATATTAAAGTAAATTTAAAATTAAAAAAAAAATTTTCTTCCAAATCCTGAAGCACCATGTTCAGGAAATACTTCTCGAGAACAAAGTATTTTAGGAAAAGAAAAACATATCAATCGATACTGGAATCTTTTACCATTATGAAATGTTACTATTATGCAGATTTTTTGGTTTTCACACCTAAAGGTGAGAAAATCTGTACAAGAGTAACATTTCAATGGATTCAACCTGATGCTTCAATCAATGCATGCATGCATTAACACAGCAAAACTTTTTCCATTATGTTTTTACAAATAACAATCAATTATACAGCTTGAAAAAGCAAATCGACCGGTCGTGAGAGTAAAAGCTTTCAATGTAAGATTAATCTGGAAATGTGCTTATTTTTCCACTGATCTGTGGATTAAAATAGCTCGTAAACTTTTTAAAAATTGAAAAATCTAGGAAGCATGTATACTTGTCCCCAGCATGTACACCGATAAATCCTTGATTAATAAAGTATGAAAAGTAGAAGGTAAGAAAGCTGAAAGAAAAGGAGAGGCGTCGATGATGATTTTGGGCCTAGAAAACTGGCCAGTAATGGTGTTGAACCTGGCGGTGAACCAGAGGAATGGAAGCAAGTGACCAGAATCAACGCTTACGTCTGGGAAAGAATGGAGCGAAGCGAACTTCTCTCTTCCCACTCACATCATACTAAAAACTCACAATACCAGCTGTACCAACCATCCTCCTCACATCGTCCCGAATGATACAAACTATTTCCTAACTGATCGGATGGCGATTTCACTTTACGTGACAATATTCTGCTGAGTTCATTTCATTCCTTGCTATCATCCACTTCTTAATTAATAACCGTGAGCCAACAATTATTGCTCTTTCTATCCTCTCACGTCTATATTTTAGTTTTAAGCGTTGAAATTTATTGTCAATTGTTAATTTCATTAATGTCATTTATAATTGTGAATTGCTAATGTCTTCATCATTTTCAATTCCTTTGGGACAGTTTGTAATTAATGGCTGTACTGCATCAAATGTTCACTTTCATTTTCATTTCAAATATATTCTGCTTGCTATTGATGATTAAGCGTTCACTAATGGCCATTAGTTTGGAAAAAACACAGATAGAAGTGACGGTTATTACACTTTCAAATGCTTTGCTTGCTGAATTCGCTCCATTATAATTCATTTCTGTTTTTTTGGTGTCGCTGAGACATTAGCGCGTGTTCAGAGTGCTCTTCCCGACTCTTCAGATACTACATGTTCTTTTCTAGGGCTAAATAGAAATTTAATTTTCTCAAATATTGTCTCGCTTCTGCTTGCTAACTATTTTCTCTTGTGACTTTGATGTATCTCACGTATCGTCTTTCCTCACGCGGATGTGTGATAATATAATAATGTGATGACTAGAATTTGGAACAGTCGATACTCTCATTTCATCATCATTTTTATCACAGTCAGTTTCTGTTTATCCATTTTATCCAATCCCATTGTTTCATTCAATTACCAAATTTCGCCGTAGAACAGTTATTATCAATCTCTAAAAAATCATGTAAAAAAGATAGGCTTCCCGGACAGATAGCGTCGGAATAAGAGGAAAGCAATAAGGCTTGCACAAAGGCCTTTCATTCTACAATCACTTTCCAACAAAATTTTTTTCCGTTTTACTTTTACGCAGCAACAGCCGGAAATGATTACATTTTCTTCCTATTCTATTTTGTTTAAAATATATGAAATTTTCCCTTCAGAATTTATAGCTCCTTCTTTTAGCACGCAATTTTTCTGGAAAAATAGTTCGCACTTATCATTTTTGTTGAAATGTTGCCTTAGCAATCAATTTACTCAAAGCTAAACAAAATTATCATGGAAAATCATTCGCGATCACGTCATCTCTGTCAAGTGACGTAATTTTAGCAACTGGTTTTAGCAAATCAAGCAGTAAGGCTTTGTCCGTTCGTGCAAGGGAGCGATCAAACGAAATAATGCTAAGACAGGTTTTGCAATAACCGAACTGATTAAACATTGATATGGAAATTTGAATATTTTAGAGAAGATTTTCCCAGTGAATGATATTAACATTTGGGGAGTGACGTGCCAAATCGGTTAGCAGCAAAGTTGATTAGCAATAATGCTGCCAAATATTTGGAAATTGTAAGAACCAGGAATTTTGCACTCGAATTTTTTACGAAAAATTGGGAGCCTATGAATTTCGCACTTTTTATGCTACACATACCCACTTGAAGTTGGTTGTTTGTTGAAATATTTCCATTGCTATTCTTCGGCAAAATTAAATTGCTTCCTAATCCCAAATTGCTTCTCCTTTTCCCCACTCATTACTATTACCGCTTTATTTTATCACTGAATGAAAAAGTTTCTCCCTCGGGAATTTCATCGCTTCCTCCCGACTTTCTTGTCCATTTACATTAACAGATATACAATTTTCCCGAAGACAACCTTTCATTAAAAGAACTGAAATGAACATTTTTTTCATTAAAATGTTCGGATAACGAAGAAAAGCCTTCTCAGTGAGAATTCATTTGCGTGAAATTATTTTTTCATTCCGGTGAAGTGATGATTAGTTGGTTGGAAGAAGTGAAGCTTTTTTCAAGTGGACAGTTGGCTGGACTATCACAGCTGTCCAGCAATGGTGTCGCTTGCAGAACTTCAATCACTACATCGTTTCAAGCATCTAGTCTCGCTATTTCCAATTTAAAGTTTACTGTTAGATGCTGCATGAATATAGAATTTTTCAGATTACTCATATACAATTAAATTCAATCTATTGTTTTCTTTTCCTAACATTCTCTTCTTACTTACAGTCTATAAATATCTTTCCCGCAAATAATGCCTTATCCACCAACTTGTAATCGATGAAAAAAGAAGCGGCTTCTATTTTCCCCCTATCTTTCTTTCGTTTTACTACTGATATCTTCAGGGAATAAAATTTAATGCACTGAGTAATAAATAATTTTTTAGTTAATGAATGCTTGTGCTCTTTCAATCTTTCAATCTTTGGTTGGGCATTGTCCACAAATATTCGCTCAAGCTGTATAAAAATATTCATTCTCTCCCAAAAAGTTGTTGAGAATAAAGCGTTGAAAGGATCGAAAAGAAAAAAGCTTGAAAACATCGTGTTGTGTTCATCAAAATGATTATATTACGGCTAATTTCATGGATATTTTAAGCTATAAATAGTAGAAATCTTATAGTAGTCTACTGGACAATCATTAATTTCACTAAAATAATGAAATTTTTATAAATGGATATCAGAGGAAATGCTCTGATTGAATTTTCAAAAATTTATTTCGCACTTATTATTGATTTGTTAGGAATGGCTATGTTCAAATGTATTTTCATCTAATATTTTCCAGTCTTTCTTGCAGTTGCCATCATTACTTTTGGTCTTTCTCTCTGTAGGAGTAAGATAACATTGCAGGAGAACCGAATCGCTTAATCAAACACGTGACAACAGCGCCTTTCCGTCAGTTATTGTCAGTCAGTTCGATGCAAAGATAACTGATGAAAAAATCATGTAACAGTGCTATCTTCCTCTTTCACTCAATGATTGGCACCCAAAAACGCCAGCAGGTGAAGAGGAATAGCTAAACAGTTAAACAGTTGAACAGTTGCTGTATTATAATTAGGACAGTGATCGAAAGCATTACGCTTCAAATTAGTGGAATCGCAAGAAATTTCGAATCACTCTTCCATTGCTTTATTTCCCGAAATGTTTTTCTTTGGTATAAACTTAGGACATTTCTTATTCTAAAGCGCTGTCAGTAAATAACGTGAATTGGTTTACGTAGTCAATGGCAATACTAATTATTACTGATTGATTACTATGCTTCGTTTCCTGCACTTTGAAATCCACCTTCTGGAAGATTTGAATCATTCTTTCACATTTTTATGATATTTGTACTGTTTTTAAGTATGGTTCATAGGTTTAAAATCAAATATAATGTCCAAAAATTTTTCCACTATTTACAATGTGCATACAAAAAACTCTTCAGTTATGATTAGTACGGACTAGCCAAGATAGAAAGCTTCTAGTAATCGAAAAATAATATAGGAGGAAATAATAGATTGTAAAAAAATGTATGGAGTTGATTTAGAATTTAAAAAAATTCCCAGTTCCTAAAAAAGATTTGAAATGTTTTCAATTTATTATCATTGATTTCTCACATCTTATAATATATTTCAAATGAATTCTCATAGGCATATTCATTTGTGACAATCTTCTTTTCACCAATACTCTTTTTTCGTAAATTATTTTATTCTTGAAAAATGGATCACGCTAGTTTCTTCTATTCCTTTCTCTTTTTTGCATCTTTAATATTCCCAAACTTAATTCTCTATAGCTCATTTGGTACTAATGATTTGGAATAATTTCATATTGAGCATTTCCAAATTTCGCTGAAATTTACATATAACTTCAAAACGTGATTAAAAATAGAATACTGAGGAAAATTTTTATAAAACGCTTTCCAAAGAGCGTGTAATATTCTCTTTTTCTGTGACGGTGAGTACTTATGTCACGTGAAGGTACAGTTAAGTCTGAAGCAAGTGAATTCAGTTACATTTTGCACACTCACAAACATCTATCTACACGTACTCATACTTCGAAAGCTGTCTAAGGCATTTCCTTATTTGATTCGTGGAAGTATAAGTATTCGATTGTTACGCTAAAGTAAGCAAATAAGTGCGATAAAACTAAAAAAAGTCAAAATTTAGTAACTTAAACTGTTATGTAGGAGTTTCTTGAGAGTGCATTTCTGCACTCTTTGACTAAAATTAGTTTCATAAATTCCTTCATGATTAATTCCATAAATTCATGATCTGTCGCACAAACAAAATCTGTGGAAATAGGAAGAATTCTGAAATGACATGGAAGGCTGCCAATCAGGTTGGAACAGATGTTGAAATAAGTTCCTCAACGAATCATTAATGATGTCAATAACTGGAAAGTGATTAATTTCACCACTGTCAATGGTGTATCATAACGAACATAAAGATTATTAGCAATGCTCCCGTTCTTCCGAATAGCTATCGAGTATATATGAACTTTATTCTTTTCCTGCTGTACTTTATCTGCAAATTTTGAAATGCCTCTATTAGTTCAGAGGAGACTTCATTTAGTATTTTAAAATAAATCATCAATCTTAAAAAAATGACAAGAATAATCCAGTATTAATTCCAATCCAATATTCCAATTAAACTAATCTAATACAATATTAATTCCAATTATGGAGCGATATTATCAGTTTAAAGATATATCGCTGTTCAGGCTAACAACCCTTTCTTCCATTCATCCGGCATTGAACAAAACCAAAAACTTTCAAATTTATTTTCTCCTTAAAATGAAAATTTGATTTTTTGTGATACATTTTGAACTAAAAAATTCATGTGGTAAATTGAGAGAATAATTTCAGTCCAAAATATGCCAAAGCCTAAATTTTAGCTGAATATTAGTCACCATTATTTATTGTTAAACTTCCGAAATAATATCCGTTAAATCTTGAAAATTTCTGCCTCTTCCTAAAACTTCTCAAGCCAAAAATGGAAGTCAATGAGATAGTTGTAAAATTATACATGCGGATGTTCAGATTCTTATCGATAATTATCGATTTTTAGAGTGACTATTAATTCTTGATACAAGTCTCGACAAGGAAGTTTTGCACTGCCATAATTCTCACAATTAATTTATAACTGAATTGTGAAAATGGAGAAGCATAACGGAATAAAAATAAAATAGCGGGATCGCAAAGCGTCCCTTGTTGATCTTGCCATTATTAGCTGAAGGATGAACACCGTTATAAGTTTTCCTACCACATCCTCAATATTCGATCAAATGCCATGCTAGAATGGTTGGCTCATTTTTTGGACGTCATTACACATATTGGTAATAATCAGAAATTCATTCAGTGAGTTCTTTCAATTTCTGCATGTTACGTTATTGTCAGCATTACGGTTATTTGTAGAATGAATAGACAAAATTTTTCAGTATTCCACTGGAAACAGAAATCGCTCGATTAAAAGCTTAGTTCTGCTGTCCCGGTTGACAGAAGAGAGGGAGGAATTTGTTGTAAGTGATTTCCGGACTAGAAACCCGTAGCAGCAACAAGACAATGCATTCCGGACATACTAAATACGAACAAGATTACGATAGTATTCGACGGTATCAAGTTCAATCTTGCCGATGCGTACTAACGATCGATCCGGTACAACACTTACCAGCTACAATTGGAGCGCATATTCTCCGCCAACTTTCACTTAAACAACGAACAAGGTAAGTACGTTACTTCAAAGGCTGACGTTTTCAGCATTATTCAGCGCAGTCAGTTTCACGCAGTTACGATATAATAACGCATAACGCAACTCTCTTCTCCCATCATTGATATTTGACCATTAATAGTAGGAATGGAAAAGCGGAGTAAAAAAAAACATCAACAGGGCTAACATTACCTGTGACAGGTTGCTTCTTCAGCTTATACCTCACTTTGCATAAAACTCCATGCTATTTCATTTTCCACCATAGCATATCACTCACATCGCGGAACATTGAATTTTTATAGATACACACACACACACACACACATATAAACGTACACATTGGAAAACATGTTAACGAATGAATAGCATTCACAGTGTGGGATGGGACATGAACACTTCATTTCTTTCACTTAATTTACAGATGTAAAGAGAGAACGTCTCCTGACAGATTGTATCCCTCTTGCTCCCCATCTCCTTTTCCGTTCTCCGGATAATATGAATCCGGATCTCGCTGTCATTCAGCTCTATCTGTCCTCTCTCACCATTGATTGCCTCACGTTCCTTTCCAGAAGCGCTTTGCGTGAATGAAGCGGAGATTATTTACCACTGTCTATCAATCTGCGCATCGTCTCCCATTCCTTGGCTGCACGAAAATGATTCCATTCATCCAAGTCTTTCTGTAGCCAAGTATAGACTTCTTGTGTCAGTTTGATATCGGTTTCTTTTCTGTGATTTCTTCGCTTATCAGAAGAGCAAGAATTCATTCGCCAAGAATTAAATTATGATAGTAGGCACAAGCTTATTGCTAGCAGCAAACAAAAAGCAAGGCTAGGACGAAACAAGCAACCTGTAAGCCAGCTCCTCCTGAATCATTCAACTCCACTACACATCCACTCATCTCTCTCTCTGTCCCTTCTCTCCATCCTCCGTCTGCTCTCGTCGAGGTGGGGTGGGAGTTTGGAGTGCATGTGCAAAAGATATCTCTGATTGCAGCTGCATTGCATTATTCCGCCTCATCTCACGCAGCAGCTCGCCTTTCCCTTCCTTTGCAGTCAGTTTCAGGTTGGAATTAGTGAGTCGAAGGTGGCGTGAAGTATCGCTGATGGCATCACGCAGCGATGATCGACCTGTCTGGGTTTACATCATATTTCGAAGGAATCACTGCAGTGGACACGAGAAAATGACCGTTAATTTGAGTTTCGATGGACCTATCTTTTGGAAACGACAAGTGGCTTACATTTATTGCTGTAGCTGCCATTTCCATGAACACGAGGTTTTTTAAGATATATCTATTTCATCTTAAAACTAGTTTTATTTGCTTTCATAGTTGAGTGATTTGCTTCCCGAACTGTTATCAAATATAGCAATTCCATCCAAGTACTTAATTATCATATTTGAAGAGTTACTTTCAAGCAAACTACAACATTCAAACTCAAATTCAGTATTTAAAGCTCGCTATCACTCTGCGAGTTTCATATACATATCTAAATCTCAATCAAATTGAATTTCCAAAATGGAGATTCATTCGTGTAATCTTTGTTGGAGAGTTCAATGATCGAAAGTTGAAACATCGTAAGAAATGAGAAAAGATTCAGGGTTACAAAGACGATATTGTCATTTTTGTTTCAATTGAGAAAAGTCAGCAAGATGAATTATGAAATCAGTCAATTGTAAATTCGCAAAATTTCATTTCTATTTTGCCTTAATAAGTGCTAAACAGAATATGCATCGCTCATCCAACCAATCATAGAGAAGCCAGAAGAAAGTGAGCATTTCAATGGATTTAGCGTTTCCTGCTCATTACACCCATTATTTTTACCAACCGATTCTATTTCATTTGCTTTATGCAAATTCAATTTTAGCACAGACATTTTCACGAAGTGACTTGGTCAGTATCTGATTTTAAAAGAATTTTTATATTCTTACTTAACACTACTTTTACGTATTGATTAATGGCTTCCATTTCAGTGCACATATAAAGAGCATATATAGTAAACAATATATATACATGTGATCAATTGTAGGGCACGAGACTTCTCATCATTTAAGTAAGAGTTTATTTTGCAGAGGCCTTTATTAGCATTACTGAGGAAATTGGAGCATCGAGTGATACGTGTGTGTATTGTGGATACGCCCATTGATTATGCTTTTCTGCCAGATAGCTTCTTTTCCTATATGGCAAGAAATATGCCTCATCTTCAAGTCAGTCTCTAAGATTTTGTTTTCTTCCATATTTCAAAAATATTTTATAAACACTTTGCTGTAAATGCGTAATTCTTCGTATCGAAAATCGGAAAGATACAAATTTATCCGAGACTGACAAAACTTACATCCCCTTTGAATGTTTGTTGAAACTTAATCAGATCGATGCTGCTTTCGAGCTCGAATGTGGCTTCGAAATAATATGGCGATAACCCTGGATTCTTCGAAGTACCCCAAAGCTATCGTCCATTTAGGAATTATTATTTACTCGGTCATGAGGACAGTTTCTAACACGATTTTATTTCCATTGTGACGATGGTTAACCTTATAAGCCAAGTTTAAAATCTGTGAAATATCAATTTAAAAGAAAGGATCGAATCTAACCATTTGGCTAATTTCAAGGTGCTCGAGAATATTTTATCTACAATATAAAACATATACTACAAACAGACAGCGACTGTTATTGCTATGTGTTATATTTCAATAATATCGAAATCTATTCGATGGTTCATTTGTCATGAATATAGTGCTCGTAAATTAAAGAAGAATTTTTGAACTATTACTTCTGCTTTGAAGTAATTGGTCCAATGTTTTAGTTTATATACTTGCGTGAAATTGATCTCGAAAAGATTAATCGCGGTACGGTGGTTGAATTGGCTCAACATCCTCAGCTTAAAAAGCTTGTCGTGCATAAATGCCGAAATTATGAAGTAAGTCATTTTATTCGAGTTGTCGAATTTATTTAGAGCCATTCAACTTTCATTTCTCAGGGCATCTTTTCTGTGTATCACATCATACGGAAGCGACAACAGCTCAAGAGAAGTCAAAGAATTTGTCTTCAAAAGTTTTGTTAGGCCTTTCATTACTTACTATGCACTGCAATGACTTCAGGACTTAATAAAACTAAAACTCAAAAGTTTCAGTAAGTTCTGAAGTCATTGCAGTGCGCAGTAAGTGATGAAAGGCCTAATAGATAGCTATTGCAGGTTTTTGAAGATTTTCATAATCTACCTCAGTTATTGGTTGTCAAAGGCGACATTGTTGGCTTAAAAGTGAGTTATTTCTAAATTACAGTAAGTAAGATTATAGACATTGGAGGGAACAAAGATATCATAGGGACATAAGTGAAATGTTTAAAACGTTTAAGTTTGCCAGTTCCATGTTCCAATTCCTCCAGACTCATTTCCCATAAGGTCGACGGTGCGAGAAAAAAGTTTTTTTTTAACTCAGAAACACCAAAAAATGAAATGTCTAAGTGATTTAGCAGAGTGGCACATGTCATAAAGTGATCAGCAATACTAGGCTCCAGTTTGCTGCTATCCTTGCATTACTGAAAGTGTTGTGGTTTTTTTAAGTAGCAGTGGAAAGATAAAGCGAAAAACAATTAAATTTTACCCCATAATGCAATTCCTTCCTACACTTCAACCCTGAGGAAAGTCAAACAATCCGTACAATATGTTTAACCCAACATGACTATCGATATTATCAGACTTTCTGCAGGCAATGATTGGCGATTGTCCGGAACCTGATGAATTCGCAATGGAACCACAAAAGCAAGCCTGATGACACAGATTTATCGATCAGATTCTGATTAGCCATATCATCCGAAAATGCCATTACATCCTCCACTTCCTCACAAAATTACTGCCATTCAAAATAAATGCAAAATACTGTTGCTATCAATTAATGTACCAAGAATATAAACCTTCCTAAAAATATAAATTTTTGGGAAAGTTTTAAAAGGAAAAAATTCGTCACTAATTTCGGGAAGTAAATTTTCTGAAAATAATAATGAAGGAAAAAATGCCAAACGAATAGAAGAAACCGCGCTTCAGTATCATCATCCATCCACTGTCCAAAACGAAGAAATTACTAGAATCATCAATTTCTGCCCACACATCCTTTCAAAACCGTCTCATCTCATCTCTTTGTCATCATCCATCCACTCATTGCTAGCTATATTACAGCGCAACATCGGATTCCCAAATCTTCTAAAAAGATCCATGGCAATGAATTTCGGGAAGAGACTACCAACGAATGAACTTTATCATCAATTACGTTTGCACCTATGCATATATGCACATGATGACTACTCATTTTGAATAAATGATATTTCTATTTCTTCAAAAACCTTTTGTCAAAGCTGTCAAAAAATTGCAGTGTCTTTAGGATTTTCGAGTTTATAAATTTTTTTTCCAAATACTCGATCACAGTGTCTTAATTTGAGAATCTTTCACTAAACTATTACGCACGATGAGTAGTCTTGAAGTTCGAGCTCATCGGGATCTATTCCAACCAGTATTCCTCCATTCAGATAAATATTAGCCGTTTACGATACAACCCGCACAACCAGTGAGCATTCGATTTATCGGTGAAACCTATCGGTATATCAGTGAAGTCCTGTCAAGAGAAATCGTTATCAGTAAAGGAGTACCCATCCAGTCGGACGAGTAATAGCGCTATCATCTCTTTTCGGGGGACACGAAAGTGATGCTGCGTTATAGGTAATATTCGGAACAACAACTGTATTTTCTTGCTCAGTATAAACTGTGTTATGACCTATGACCTGCACATCTCTAATCATTCCGTGAACTCTCTTTTTCTCTTCCGCGCTGCAGAATTATGTTGTAAAAAATGGAGCAAACAAAGACCTCTTTGTACATATACACATGCACACACATATGTACACACACATACACAC